TTGTTTTAAAGGAATAACATGATTAAGCATGAATACAATTGAATTATGAGTAATTGAAAACCCTTCTTTAAAAGTAAGTATAGTAACATTTGGAAAATAATATTTGCAATTGATTAGTTGTTTTTCACTATCAACTTGAAGATGATGGACAGATCGCAGATGAGTTTCCTTAGAATTTAGACAAGTTGATTGATGAAGTTGATTACATAATGTTAAATATTTTTTCCTGAACAGTAAAAGTAATTTATGCATATAGTACAATTCAAAATCTAATGTATTCATACCTATATGGATCTGTCGAATAGAAGATTGTGTAATTTCTATCTCGTTCCTGAATAAATTGTTGTATAAACGACCATTGGCGTTCGATCCAAAATGAAGATTGGAACTTATCAGTTAGATTATTCGATATCACTTGATTAGAATTATGATTGTCGGTAGTAAGATCTTTCGGCCAATTTGCATATCGAATATCAAATATACGTAAATTTGGCATACGAGATAATATCAATTTTTCCCATCTATTCGCATTGATATACGTTTGATCGGAATTAAAATATATGTAAATATGTAAAACTTGTACCAAATGAAAAATATCTATGATCATTTCTTCAAATACATTGAACCTTATGAAGCCAAGATCAAGTGAAACGTGTGTCAAATAAGGTAATACAAATGGAGATGTTTTTATATATTTCCGCGAAGTGCCGACTACACGAGAAACACATAAACGTCGAAGTTTTGGAACATATGATAATAAATTATGCAGTTCATCGATGGATATATTATGACTGATGATTAAGTACTCGATAGGACTGTATTCATCGATTGTTGGCGATAATAATTCATTGTAATATGGTCCCTTCAATGATAAACTGCAATATTTTAATGCGAGTAGGCGGACTACATGACAATATATAGAGGTCTTATTTTGCATATAGCCTGTCGATATGATAGATAATGAAGAAAGACATGGTAAAGAAACTAATGTTGCAAGGAGATGTTCAAGATATTGTGATTCCATATTATTAAGACTAAGCGTTTCAAGATGTAGGAAGTCGGATATAATATGAGTTGGTGAAGATATATCATCATATAAACATGGATTCGATAAATGAAGTGAATGAATTCGATGTTTATTCGATAGAATAATATCTTTATTGAATCGTTGAAATGTCGATTTTGATATAGACGAAAGATTAACTTCAATTGGGAGCGTTGATTTAACTATTAGATTATGAAATCGTGTATTAAGTGAATAAAAAGCACTATAAACATAATGAAAATCCAATAATTCAAATATTTCATCGATTAATTCATTAGGAAGATCTTCAAAACATGTGACGAGTTGTTCTAATGAACTAAAAAAAAGAAGAACATTCATTTTAACGAAAATTTTTTGTTAACTCACCACCGATTCGTTTCAACTAAAAAGAAATAGAAATTATAAAAAATATTTATATGAATATTTTACCTTGTATCTTTTGTTTTTTATTATTATCATGATTATTCATATTGTTAGTTCGTTGACATTTTATTTGTTCCATATAGATATTCTGAATGTTGTAAATCGATAATAAAATCCTATTTATTCAAAAAATGAAAGAATGTAATGTTTATAATTGCACGATAATTTCCAATAGAGAGCACAGGAAAAAAAGAATAAATACGCAAATCATTGAGTCATCTTAGTAGAAAAAGTAAGCACTTGAAAGGGAGACAAATAAAGGAAAAAATTAATGGATTTTTATTTTTCAAAATTGAGTAATACAAAACAGTAAAAAGTTGGAAATATCCGACATGTAAAATAAATACATAAACTATCTTTTTAAATTCTAATAGTTAATGCTTATCGATCTTAGAATGTGGGTATGCGATTTACGAGTAGTGCCATCAACTGTATTAGTTTTTGAAAAACAAGATAAATAATATCAGTGATTTATTCGAAATTAATTAAACATTTAAAAAAAAACAAAAAAAGATATTTATTCCCATCAAAAATAACAAACAAAACAACCATCATGTTTTGGAGAAACGTTATTCGGTTTTTTAACTTCTGTAATTATATTCATTAATGTTTCAGTCCATATAATTTCATGTGTACTTCGAATAAACAACGAATGTAAATAACGAGTATTTTCATTAGTGCTTAATAAATATTTTAATATTTATACTTGTTAAAATATATAAAACTTCAAGATTTCTAAAAAGACTCATCATAAAGGGTTGAAATTGAACGCAGTTTATGTTTTAATATAATAGAAACATGTGTAAGATTATTTGAAGTAATTGAAAATCTATGTAGCAGTCGATCATAAGAGGAAACTAGACATTTAATAGATAAACGACGCAGATGAGAAACATATGATAAAAGAGGTTGAAACTCATTAAAATATACATTATAATCAATAATAAGATGTTCAATAGGTAATAGTTGACGTTTTGTAGCATCCTTATCAGGAGATAATTAATGCTGAAAGCTGTGGTACTAGAATCAAATAATCGAAAAGATCTTTACAATCATTTAAATCAATATTTTTCAAACAAAGTATTTTAAGGCGAGTGAATAATATATCATTTTTAATAGATAAAAATATGAAATTGTTAGTAAATGGATCTGATGAGTATTATATTTAAAAATATTGACTTCAATTAAAAGATCTGATAAAATGAGAAGATCTCGAAATAGTCTAATTAAATTATTAACAATTTCATAAGCTTTATAAGTATTAAGAGAGTCAAATATTTCATAGAATATCTCATTTGAAAGATCTTTATAATTAGTACATTCATTTTCAATACTAAAACAAACACATACGTAGACTTTTGAGAAAATTATATATCGTTTTTATTCTATCAAATAAAGACAAATTTGTATGAGTCATATCAAAAGTTGTGTATATTATGTGAAACTATAGATGATTATTGTAGTTTTTATATGATTATAATCGATTGAACAACTGGGTTTTTTTCTATTTGTTAAGTCAAAAAAGGAATATTATTCTGTAGTAATCACATATATTCGTTATTTCTTTTCTATTCTATCGAGAATACATATGAAATGCACATGTATTTCTATATATTCTCTTCTTTCTCGTGTTTTTGATTTTCTTC